CCTCCAGATTGAGTCCGATGCCACTCCAGAAAGACGCATAGTTGTGTTCGAGCCAGTGGGGGAAGACCGTCAGCACGATGACACTGATGTGCGGCCACCAAAGCGTTCACGGATTAATCATGGTACCATTCATGGCTGATGTGCCAGCACCGTTTAGCGACGCAACCAATGGAGAGTGCAAAAATCAATGGGAGTAAGCTTTTCAGAAGGAGATTGACACATTACTTCGCAACAACACATGGGATATTGTAGATTTCAAATCAGGTATGAAAACTATTGGATCACAGTGGGTTTTCTCGTTGAAGAAGAACGAACATGGTGAGATCATTCGATACAAGGCAAGACTCATTGCACAGGATTTTATTCAAAGATTTGGTGTAAATTTCTTTGAAACCTACGCACCAGTAGCAAACTTGAACTCCATTCGCATAGTATTATCAGTGTGCTGTTACCAAGGTCTATCAATCTTCAAATGTGATGTAGATACTGCTTTTCTTTATTGAATGCTCGATCAGTTGGTATACATGAGAGTGCCTGAGGGATTCAAATGCGGCAAAGGCAAAAAAACTGAACCGTTCCCTTTACGGCCTCAAGCAAGCGGCACACGTGTGAAACCATCAACGACGTCCTACTGAAAATTGGGTTCAAACCTTCAGCGATTGATTCATGCATCTATGTTCGAAATCAACCTGAGTATGTGATTTACATCCGCCTATACTTTGATGATATGTTAATAGCGGCCAAAACCATCGACAAAGTGGATAAAATCAGATCAAAAATCGCTCAATGGTTTCGTATCTAAGATTTGGGTCGAGCGAAGTTGATCCTTGGAATAAAAAATTAATCATACAATAAACAAGAAGACGCTTACCATAGCACAGAGCCACTACATCGAGGAAGTAGCTAAGCGTTTCAATCAATCAAATGCACGGCCAACTCAGAACCCATGTGGTAGTGAAATGAAGTTAAGTCGAGATGACTCTCCAAAGACAACGGATGAGAGAGAAGCAATGGAGAAACGACCATTTCGTTCACTAATGGGTTGTCTACTATACATTGCAATGGGTACTAGACCAGATGTATGCTATGCTGTATCTCATCTCACTCGTTTCCTGGGTTGCGCTGGCCAGGCACATTGAAAGGCTGCAATTCATATACTGCGGTATTTGTATACAACTCGATCTATCATATTGACTTTCAGTGCGGGCGTTTCGAAACAATTTCTGGTTGCGTTTAGTGAAGCAGACTGGGGAAGCAATGTAGATGATCGATGATCAGTATCTGGTGTTTTGGTGATGCTTAATGGTGGACCGGTTGTCTTTAGAGCAAATATCAGAAGACGGTTTTATTGAGCTCAGCTGAAGCAGAATACATGGTTTTAAGCCTATGCACACAGAAAGTCATTCTGCTCAACTTTAATGGAAGAACTTCAACTTAATTTCAAACAGTCAAATCCAACGGTGATCTATGAGGATAATCAAAAAGCCATTGCCCTGGCGCACAATGTTGCTTACAATGCACGTTCAAAGCATATTGATATCCGCCACCATTTTGTCCGTGAGCGCGTCTCAAATGGTGAAATTGGAATCAAATACATCCCAACAAACCAACAACTCGCTGACATAATGACGAAGGCGTTGGCGACAACTCGTTTTGCTGAACTACGTGCCTCCAGTGGTATCAAGTCCTTATCTGATACTAAGTGAAGCGTGAGTGGGAGTGTTACATAACACGCTAGACACTAGGATGACAACCGCATGGTGGTGGTTGTTGTTGCAGTTGCGGTTGTTGCTGACGATGATGTTGCGACATCAACTACAAGCATATGCATGTAACTTTTGGACTGGATGTAATTGAGTTGATGAACCAGGATCTAACAGTTGAATATATTCACTTTTTTAACTTTCTGCTTGAATCCACACCTGCACTAAAGTGTCAAATCGTCGCTGTCAAATGCGCCACATGGTTCGAGAACCACTTTGTTGTAATTAGTATTTTTTTACAGCTAGAAAAATTTCCAAGAGCTTGAGACTGATGATCTCGTACTTGTACTCAATATTGAATTTGTCCTTCGTTAGCTGTCCCAGCCCACGAGGTTCGAACCGAATATTGGCATTTGTATTTTGTTTTGTTAATCGCTTTAACATAGAAGTCAGCATCACCACTGCTTTGCCATCGATGTGCTTTTGCTCAGCATCAGCAAGAACCTTAGCAGATTGGCCACCGCTTTTGCTAGTGCTTGGGTAAGCTGAGCACCACGCTAGGTAGCCATTCTTATCTCTTCGACAACTCTTAGAAATGCATGGTTTACCAACATCCATCTTTAACTCACTCCAGCACCTTTGAGCTTGGCGCTCATTGAATTGGTTAAGAAAGTCGCGTTGTAGCGTGTGCTGAAAGCAACGGCTTTGTCTAGCGTACTGCGATCATATAACGCATATGCTACCTTCATCTATTTATCGTAATTTTTGAATCATATTCGCGGTAAGAGTTTAATCAGATCGTAAAATTTTTGATTGATCTTAATATCGCCAGTTATTTCAAATTTTAATTTTCTAATATAGGATTAATGACACAAGTATTCTCCTTACACTGATAGAGAACTTCATGTATCTCTTCGGGAATATTAACTAGTTCTACATCATTCACAACCTCATAACCTTCGCCAAAAGTCACACATCCATTATCGTTTCTGACATCAAAACCTGGTAAAACGTTTGCAGATGTCAACTCGCTCATCGTATTTCAAGTAATAATGATATACGCCGCTGCTAGTCCTGACTTTGTATGTTTGGTAGTCATCAAAATGAATATCAACATCAAGTCGAGAATCCATCCCGTTCTTATTCTTTCTAATATCAACATCAATCACAGTAATCCCAGATCGTTTTCCAGTTTGTATGTTCCATTCCTGAATTTCCAATTGCTTTGCAGTTGAAAAAAATCTACCAGCCACATAGATCCGTCGCTATTAAATGAAAGCTTAACAATGAATATAATTAAACGCATCGCTGATTGCCGCTGTATACATTAAATAAAAAAATATAATTCAATAAAAAAAGTCAAGCGTGTTCAAGCATCCGTTGGAAATTCAAAACCGTCGAATGTTTCGATGTCTTTCTGTGATTCGATATGTTCTGATAGAAATATCGATCGCCATATTCACATTGAATGATGTTGTCGGCATTATTTTGCGTCATGTTTTAACTAGCTGTCGCCATCGGGGTTTCATATAATTTGTAATATAACATTAGAATATTTTGGAATGGAGTATAATTGATCATTTTTTGTGAGAGTATTTTGATTAAAGTCACAAATCCAAAATCTCTCAACAGGTGCAAATGACGCGTTTGAAGCTATAGACAGTGGAATCGGCAGTGTTTGCTCTGCTTTACTCTTCCATCGACAGATACATGCGCTGCAGCTGGACTATAAATTACTAGTTATCGCATGTTTCGATGACTACGAGCAGACGTTTACGATCGAAAGCTTACTGTAGGGTTCGTCTGTGAATAGAATGAATTAGGACGGCCCATCTATTCTCATGGCGCAAGCTTCGCGACAGGAATAACTTTGTCGTCCACTTTCTCAATGCTACGTCACCATCGTTTCATGCGGCGAGGATGCAATCGTAACGTGATGCCACTCAAAGTGAGAGCTTGAAGGGATGCAGAGGGAGGCGTACTGACCAGTTTCGTGCACAAATCTGTATTTTGTCAAACTCGTGTAATTGGATTTTTGGGTAGTGCACAAATCAAGATCTGATCGTATGCAATCACACCCTTGTGGGAATTACAGACGGACCCGTGAGCGTGCACGCGAGATCGATACCTTAAGCGGTAGAGAGATAAAGCAAACAATGTTTCAATGCCACTAAGAACATGAGAATTCATGAGTGTTCGCTCACTTTTGTGTTGACTTGAAAGAGAGACACATTCGTGCAGACCTGAGACGACGATTGTGACCAAAGCTGCCACAAAAGAGAGAGCGGTCGAAAGGAATGTCCGTAGATACAAGTAACACTGAGTTATATTACACAGCAAGAACAAAGACAAAAGCCAATGCAATAGCTGACGGTATTTTCGTAGCTACAACCTGTCGCGGATTCGCTTGTAGTGCAGTGTACGCTATCGTTCACAGAAAAATCAACAGTCTGAGATTCATCTTGAGTTATCATTCTACAATCGAAAACTCACGATACAAATAGATAAGGCCGTAAGCAATACAGCAAATCTGAGATATTCGACTTTCCTTTCCAATACTGCAATCGACGTGTCATTTTCTGATCGAGCTTCGTCGTTCTTGTTCATCTTGACCATCATTTCTAACGGATTCTTCGTTCTCTTAACTTTATCGATGGATCAGAATTCTTCGAAAGCGCAGATTCGACTACACTGCGTGGTGGTAAATCCTTTGTTCGCATCGTATTTTGCTCATCAACAAGTGGTTTTGTCATGTCTACAAACCACTTACCATATGAAACTGGTATCAATCTACGTGCTAGTGGATTCGTCCAATCCAACTGATTTAACTCCACGCGACGAAGTAACTGATTTGTAGTCGAACGGATGTACAGCATAA